CCCCCCCCCCCCCCAGCCTGCCATATACTACTACACTAATAATTTGTAAATCAAATCTCTTTTGGTGGTTCCTTCATTAGCTCTGTCTTAGGTCCATGGGATTTTTAAATGGCTGAAATCATTTTTAATGTATAAATAAAAGGGTAAAGTGCCCACTTTTTAAGCCCAAAAGAATTCAAAGAGGTTTGCAGGCCTAATTACAAAACCATTCTGTGCCAGAGCAAATAAAAGAGCAATGAGAACGTCTGAGGATGTATTTCTCCTGTAGCATTAATCCTGCACACACACACACACTCACGCACACACACACACTCACGTGCACACTCACCTGCACATAAACACACTCTCACGTGCACACACAAACACAGATACACACTCACATGCACAAACACATGTGCACCCACACTCACGCACACTCACTCACACACGCACGTGGATGGCCTAACTGCCACTATGTAAAAGGCCCCTGCCCTAAGCTCTTTGGCCTGGGGTTATTGGACAATGCAAAAACCAACAAGTTTGCCCCTTGCGTAAGCCTGGGGGCAGACAGCCGATGGAAGAGAGAATGTGGAGAATGCACACTGACCCCTCATCTCCCCCCCCCCCCCCCGGCAGGCTCGCTCGTCTCCTTCTGCCTGCCCCCCGGCAGCCTACGCGGGATCTCCCTGCACTTGCTGGCGCTCTCCTACGGGGGTGGTTGCTTCCTGGGGGCGCTCATTATCCAGCTGCTCTACCTGCTCTCTGGGGGTAGGTCTGGCTGCATCCCTGCCCACCCCACCCCCCCTCCCCAAGCCCCCACCTCCCACACCCCCCCAACACGGACAGCCCAAGGACAACTACAGCCAGTTCAAAGGCTGTTCCTTCCTGCCTGGATAAAAATCAGCTGTGGGCTTTTCTCGGCGTGTGGGTCATCCAAAATGGATGAAGGCCATGCCCACTGGCTGGGGGAAGGAGCACCAGCACCGTTGTATGTGCCCCCCCCCCCCCAAACTCCCACCCCTGCCGCACAATGTTACGCTGCCAGCTCAATGCGGGCCGGGCTGGGGATTATGGGTACATGTGATATGGCTTACACGAAGAGTGACGTATCTCCCAGGTTACAGTGCTCGAGCATGTGCCTTCACATGAGTCGTCATTGTGAAAGGTCAGAGGTCACCGTACACATGACTATCAGGGGTACATCCACCTCCCTCATGTTTCACTCTGATGGTGTTTGACATGTGCCCAAGGTAATAAAATCTTCTGTCATTCTTGGAGGTAACTTCTACCCAAATGACCTGAGCGATGGCAACCTGGAGTGGTTCTTCTTCCTTCTGGCTGCCCTGATGACTGTAAACACACTGGTCTTCTGGAGGATCTCCCACAGGTATGTCCAGCCTCAGAGAGCAGGACCAGGGTCCCCTTAAGCCAATACATACCCATGCTGGACCCTCAAGCTCCCCCCCCAAACTGCTCAGTCACTCCTGACATTTCCCTCCGTACAAATCATTGCTTCTCTGCAACTTTTTCCATTTAGAAAGGTTACATGGCTCAATTTGCATAATGATTATGTTGCTTTCGGGGGAGCGGGGGTGGTGGGGAGGGGATGGAGGGCAGCCTTAGCACTGGGGTGCTGTGCACAGAGCAGGGTCTGCCTCACGGCATGTGGGGGTGTGAGGAGACCCCGATATTTTCTAAAGGTGCAGTCAGTGTTATTTCTGGTTACTATCTTGCTTGCACTCGCTTCAGCTCTCGGCCTGGTGATCGTCCTCTCTCAGCCTCACAGCTTCATACCCAATTAAGAGCTTTTAAGAGCTCGTGTACCCTCAGTGGCCAGTTTATTAGGTCCATCTGCTCGTTAAAGCAAACTGCCTGCTCCTCCAATACAGCCAATCACATTGCTGCAAGCGCATACGTAGGGCAAATAGACAAGGTTAGCAGGTTACCTAAGTGGCTGAGATGCGTGATGTAAGCGATTTTGAGTGAATTGGTCAGCATCCTTCAAGTGCTACAGCGCATAGAGTTTACAGGAACGGTGAGACGAACAAAGCTCATCCAGTCAGTGCCGTGAGGTTCTGTGGGCGAAAGCACCTTATTAGTGACGTTCGGGGAGAATGGCCAGGCTCGTTAAAGCTAACAAGAAGAGCAAATGCAAAACTAACAGCTCAGTACGACAGCGGTGTGCAGAAAGGCATCTCTGATTCTGGGGACGAGAGAGGGGGGGCCCTTATAAACTGGCCACCAAGTGTATACAGGCAAATAACTCAATTCAACATATGACATTGTACATGTACACTGAAATAATTCAGGTACAATTTGGGTATGGTATTGCATTATTGTTGCAAAATTTATTCAAAATATATTTCTTGTGATAAAATGTTAGACTTTGATAATAATTCCTTCATGTATTTTAAGTATGTAGATGCATGAGGTTAAGTTGGACCAGCATCCTGTCCTAATGTCCATGTCACGCCTCACCCCTGGTTCCCTTCCTGTAGGTACCAGGACCTCAGCAGGCAGCTGGACCAGGACCTCAGCAGCAGCAGCCACCTGGACGAGAAGCTGCAGTTACACAAGAGCTGCTTGCGTTTCTATGACACCGTGGAGTGGTCTTACACCATGGAGACGACCTTGTGATGCAGCCGTCGCGAGTGGTGTCTCGACACCATACACCTATACATATTTACTTTGTACAGTTAAGCTTATATGTGTAAATATCATACATTTCTGTAAATAGCTTTTATACCTCATGTCCTGTATATGCATTGTTTTACTTCTTGTGAATAAAAGGTATTTAAATCCAACTATTCTCTGCAGGATTTTATTCTTCTGGCTTGTCTGCCGTGCTCCTGAACAGACCCAAGACAGATACATCTTAAAAAGTCTGCCAGAAACATTCTGACAAATTAATTTTCCAGTTGAGTAACTTTGGAAAGTTCCGGCGCAGGCTGTACCTAGTAACCTAGATTTTTACACAGAACATGCAAGAGAAGATAAAGCGAGGAGAAGGGGAAGAGCCCCCCCACCCCAACCTTGGATATAGTTAAAATTTTTAAACAGAAATTTGAGAGGAGACAAGATCTTTATATACATGTGTACGTGTCAGGCCTGTGAATTTCATTCCGACTTTAACTGAACCTAGTTTTTGTAATGGCAAAAAAGTTGATAATTATAATTTATATATATATATTTTATTAGTGTATATGAGACACCACTATCTCAAAATCAGAGGTAAAAAACAACACTCTGGGTATATAATGCATGACACAATAACCATTTTGTCTGAACAACATATTGATTTTGACCAAATGTGTAATTTTCACTATGTGCTGTATGATGGACCATGCAGCTTCACCCAGACATTATTCTGTCCTCCCCTGTAATGCTTGTATTTTCTGTGACCCTATTTTTTCTAAATTCTGAATTTCCCCAAACCTGACAGAACGGGGCCCGGATCCCTGATCAGACCAGAGTGCCACATTCCGGAATCCTGGACGGGAAGTTTGTGGCGTTCGGGTGCATTTCAAATATTTGCTCCGAGGACAATTTCAAAGAAATTAAAGGTCACACGTGTTTATAATTAATTACCTGGAGGAGCTACCTGTGCCTGTGTGTGAGCTCTGTGCTCGTTCACAAGGGGCTGACGGGAAGGTGGGGGCCAGTGTGGGGGGGGGGGGTGGACAGGTGAACCCGGCATGTTTTGATCTCTCAAACATGCATTCCATGTCTTCTCTGTCGCTGGGGAGTGCGGCTCCAAGGTCAGTGCTTGAAGGCAACAGCGGCCAGGGAGAGGCGCTCGTTTGGGCCGCGCTTTCATGTGGACCGCGGGGCCCCGCTGTGGGGCCCGGCTGTGGGGCTCCTAGCATTCTCCATCTCGGGAAGCAGGGCTGACACTAGTGAGGTCCCTGGGCGGCAGCTGTCACTATTCATCTCCACTGGAGGGGAAAGATAAGCAGCCCTTAATTGGCTCGTTAATATCATTTTGGCCAGGAAGCTGTTTAGCTATTCTGCTCTTCTTTTCCTTCCTTCCATCCATCCTTCCATCCATCCATCCATCCATCCATCATCCAGCTGCTTGTCCAACAGAGGGTGGCACTGGGCCTGGAGCCCGTCAAAGGATGCACAGGGTACGAGGCAGGGGACACAGTTTAAAGACGCCAACCTGCCAGACTAAACCAACCTGAACTGTGAGAGGAAACTAGATTTACCTGCAGCTGAACAGGCTGATGCAGAAAGTAAAGATAGTGATCATTTATTTCCTTAGAAATGTAACACAAAGTAAACATTTGTTAGCCTGCGTAAAAACCATGCCTCTGATATTCAGCAGTCAGGAACCTA